AATAACTTTGAAGTGGAAATTAAAGCTTGAGCCCAGTGACTCCAAGCTAAGGCTAATAAAGAGCCTGTAGAAGGAGGTTATTAAAGGCCCAGCTAGTTCTTTCTGGGGAGCCTCTCCTGCAGACGTCCCAGCCTGCTCATCCCCGCCACGCAAGAAGCCTTTATCCTGAGAAAAGCTGCAGAGCCCTCGGAAGCTGGGGTCCCACGGGCAGATGCAGTTAAGGTTAAGATGAAAGATAACTGGGAGGATCTTACTGAAGATGAAGTTATTGTTTCAGGCAGTGTTTAGACTTTGTAAAATAAAAACAAAGTTTGGTTTATATAAAAACAATTTGAATTCCAAATAAGTATTGCAATAGGAATAAGTACCAACTATAAGATATTTACTGACTGCAAAGGCAGACAGGGGCTTTCTTTCCTAGAGAAAAGCAAACAAGATTAGAAAGATGATGGGAGAAGAATGGCAGATGGAGGGTTAAACAATCAGATTCTGGATGAGAAAATGTTTTACCCCAAAGTCAGAATGTTATTAGGAGGGACATAAAATGGGGTCCTGTGTTCACTGAGACTGATGGTAGCTCAAAGTTCAGGAACATGTGGGAAAGAAAGTTAGGTAAAATTTGATTAAGAAGTATTTTATTATGACCACTGAAGACAAATTCAGCTGATTTTCTTACTAGAAAAAGAAGAAAATGTGCAGAGTGTGTGTCTGGCTGTGTGATAGGAGAATACTATCTAAGTCATAATGGGTAGGGTGTTTCTTTTTTTTTTTTGAGATGGAGTTTCACTCTTGTTACCCAGACTGGAGTGGAATGGCACAATCTCAGCTCACCACAACCTCCGCCTCCTGGGTTCAGGCAATTCTCCTGCCTCAGCCTCCTGAGTAGCTGGGATTACAGGCATGCGCCACTACGCCCAGTTAATTTTTTGTATTTTTAATAGAGATGGGGTTTCACCATGTTGACCAGGATGGTCTCGATCTCTTGCCCTGGTGACCCACCCACCTCGGCCTCCCAAAGTGCTGGGATTACAGGCTTGAGCCTCTGCGCCCGGCCGGGGTGTTTCTTTCCATAAACTGTTCCTGGAACACACAGTGGATGGAAAGTCTTACTAATCTTAGCTATTTACCAGGATTATGTATGTGCTTCATCTTTCCCTACCTTTTTTTTTTTTTTTGTCCTGTACGTTTCTTTTATTTGACTTTTTCTGGGTTGTGTCTTTTATAATAAACTGGTAAACATAATTACAGTGTTTTGCTGGGTTCTGTGAGTAGCACTATCAAATTACTGAACTTGAGGGATGCTACAGGAGTCCTGAATTTTAAACAGTACCTCGGAAGTATGGACGGACTCATGGGCTTTGTGGCTGGCATCTGCAGTAAGGACGATGTTGTGGGACTGACCCTGGAATCAGGGTCTGTGCTGACTCGCTGGTGTCAGAATTTAAATATTGGACAATGAGTTGGTGTTGGAGAATTGCTCTGTGTTCAGCAAACTCTACATATTTGGTGTCAGGAAAAAAAATATATCATGGAGGCCTGGCCTGGAATAAAACTCTGGGTGTCTGGGATGGGAGGCTCTGCTTTCCTATACACAGCCCATTGTCCTGTGATGCCATGTCTGCTCCCAGAGTGACAGGACTGAAAACTTAGAGCAAAGGAGCTCTGATGAAAGATCCTTGTTATCTACAGTTGCCACCACAGGATTCCCACCCACTCACAAACACGTACACTAGACATTGACATGTTTGCACCCTTCCCAGGACTAGGCAGCATTCTCAGAAAATTCACCACAACATTTTTTTTTCTTTTCTTTTTTTTTTTTTTTTGAGAGGAGTCTCACTCTGTCACCCAGGCTGGAGTGCAGCGGCATAATCTCAGCTCACTGCAACCACTGCCTCCCAGCTTCAAGTGATTCTCCTGCCTCAGCCTCCCAAGTAGCTGGGACTACAGGTGTGCACCACCACGCCCAGCTAGTTTTTATATTTTTAGTAGAGATGGGGTTTTACCGTATTGGTCAGGGTGGTCTCGAACTCCTGACCTTGTGATCCACCCATCTTGGCCTCCCAAAGTGCTGGGATTACAGGCATGACCCACCCTGCCCGGCCAGTATTTTTATTTCTAGTGTTGCTAAAAACCCATAAAAGTGTCTATGAGTGTCCTGACATAACCCTACCCGCAGGCATTAAATCTGCAGCAGCAACCTGTTTTCTCCACCAGCTGAGGTTTCCAGGCCACCTGTTCATAATCTCATAGGCCTGCATGGACAGAAATAAATCAGAGTACAGTGCCATATGAGTCACTACCTGAAGCATAAAGCAGCCCTTCCAACTACATTGCACTCTCTGCCACCCATGAAGTTTTTTCCTTTTAACTGTTATTTTTGGTTCAGCGGTACACATGCAGGTTTATTATACAGATGAAATTGTGTCATGGAAGTTTGGTAAGGATTATTTTGTTACTGAGATACTAAGCATCGCATCGAAAAGGTATCGTTTCTGATCCTCTTTGCTCCCTACCTTCCACCCTAGACTAGACCTCATTGTCTGCCGTTCCCCTCTTTGTGTCCATGTGTTCTTACTATTTAGCTCTTACTTATAAATGAGAACACGAATTTAGTTTTCTGTTTCTGCCTTAGTTTTCCTGAAGATCACCTCCATGTGGCTGCAGGGAACATCATCCTGTTCATTTTCATGGCCACAGAGTATTCCATGATGTTTATGTATCAAGTATTTTTAAAATTCTTATTTTATTTTATTTTATTTTATTTTTTGTGGAGACAGGGTCTTACATTGTCACCCAGCCTGGAATGCACTGGCACAATCTTGGCTCACTGCAGCCTCAACATTCTGGGCTCAAACAATTCTTCTACCTCAGCCGTTCAAGTAGCTTGGACTACAGGCATACACCACTATGCCTGACTAATTTTTTGTGTGTTTTTTGTAGAAATGGGGTTTTCCTAGATTGCTTTAGCTGGTGTCAAACTCCTGAGGTCAGGAAATCTGCCTTCCTCGGCCTCCCAAGGTGTTGGGATTACAGGTGTGAGCCACCGTGACAACTGAGCAACATTTTATTCATCCAGTCTACCACTGATAAGTATTGACGTTGATTCTGTGTCTTTGCCATTGTGAATAGTACTACAGTAAACGTGTGTGTACATGTGTCTTTATGACAGAATAGCTTACATTTCTTTGGGAATCTATCCATGTATGAGGTTGCTGGGTCAATGATAATTCTGATTTTAGTTCTCTGAGAAATCGCCACACTGCCACTGCTTTTCGCAATGGTCGAACTGATTTACACTCCCACCAGCAGTATATAAGCATCCTCCTTTCTACGCAACCTTGTCAGCATCTATCATTTTTTGACTTTTTTTTTTTTTTTTAAAGACAGAGTTTCACCATGTTGGTCAGGCTGGTCTTGAACTCCCGACCTCAGGTGATCCACCCGCCTTGGCCTCCAAACATTTTTTGACTTTAGTAATAGTCATTCTGACTGGTCTGAGATGGTATGTCATTATGGTTTTTCTTAACATTTCTGTAATGTTTAGTGATGAGTATTTCTGTTTTTTCTTTTTTTTTTTTTTTAAGACAGGGTTTCACCATGTTGGCCAGGCTGGTCTTGAACTCCTGGTCTCAGCTGATCCGCCTGCCTCGGCCTCCCAAACTGCTGAGATTACAGGTGTGAGCCACACACTGGCCGAGTATTTCTTTCATGTGGTCATTAGCCACATATATGTGTTTTGAAAATTATCTGTTCATGTTTTTTGCCTACTTTTTAATAAGGTTTTTTTTTCTTGTAAATTTGTTTATATTCCTTATGGATTCTAGATATTACACCTTTTTTAGTGGCATGTTCTGCAATTATTTTCTTTTATTCTATAGGTTGTGTATTTACCCTGTTGATGTTTTTTTTAAAATGTTTTATTTATTTATTTATTTTTTGAGACGGAGTTTCGCTCTCGTTACCCAGGCTGGAATGCAATGGCACGATCTCGGCTCACCGCAACCTCCACCTCCTGGGTTCAGGCAATTCTCCTGCCTCAGCCTCTTGAGTAGCTGCGATTACAGGCACGTGCCACCATGCCCAGCTAATTTATTATATTTTTAGTAGAGACGGGGTTTCACCATGTTGACCGGGATGGTCTCGATCTGTTGACCTCGTGATCCACCCGCCTCGGCCTCCCAAAGTGCTGGGATTACAGGCGTGAGCCACCGCGCCCGGCCTGATGATTATTTTTTAATGTGAAAAAAACTTCAATTTAGTTAGGTTCCATTTGTCAGGTTTTGGTTTTGCAGTTGCTTTTGGTATCTTCATCATGAAATCTTTGCCAGGTTCTATGTCTAAATGGCATTTCCTAGGTTATCTTTCATGGTTTTTCTTTTTATAACTTTAAGTTTTACATTTAAGTCTTTAATTCATCTTGAATTCATTTTGCAGGTGGTATAATGAAGGGGTTCAGTTTCAATCTTCTACATAGTGCTAGCTAGTTATGCCAGCACCATTTATTAAATAGGGAATTAATTTTACATTTCTCTCGTCAGCTTTGTCAAATATCTAATGGTTGTAGGTATGTGGTATTATTTCTGGGCTCTTGATAGGAAGAGCATTAAATCTGTAAATTTCTTTGGATGTATGGCCATTTTAATGATACTGATTTTTTTTCTGTCCATGAGCATAAAATAGTTTTCCATTTGTTTGTGTTATCTCTGACTTCTTTAAGAAGTGTTTTGTAATTGTTGTAGAAATCTTTTACCTCTCTGCTTATTTCTAGATATTTTATTCTTGTAGCAAGTATGAATTGTGTTTTTGATTTGGTTTTCGGCTTGGGTGTTGTTAATGTACAGGAATGCTACTGATTTTTGTACATTCATTTTGTATCCTGAAACTTTGCTGAAGTTGTCAGTTTAAAGAGCTTTTCAGCCAAGACTACAGTGTTTTCTAGATATAGAATTATGTCATCTGCAAACAGAAATAGTCTGAGTTTCTATCTGTTTAGATGTCTTTTATTTCTTTTTTTTTCTTCCTGTCCCAACATCTTTTAATACAGGTGGATGGATAATACATGAACACATGGATATAGGTATCTCTGAAGCAGTGTGACATAAAATAATATCTATATATACAACACTCCTTTGCAAATAGCAAATGTAAACTAAAAGATACCTAACAGATCATTTTGTTTATCTCGCTATCATTTATTAATCTATAACATCTCCCTCTTATAAATGAATCCATGCAAGGAAGCGGTACTAGCTGCCCTACAAGATGGTAGCTCCCTTGGGTGACTTATTGAGACCCTATTTTCATTTGGATCTGAGCTGCCCTACCCCCTTCACTGCAATCTGGCTTTCCCTTCTGTGAGTATAAAGTCTGACATGGGATGGCACACCTATAGCTTTAGTGTTTGAAGTAAAGAAAGCTTTATGCAGATTCTGGCTTTTAATGGGTCTCCTCTGACTGTAGAAAGATTCAAACCACAGCCAATTCCAAGAACCCTTCTAAGAACAGAGACAATCACTTGAAAGGATCTGACTTGCTATGCCTAAATATAATTCACACTGCTTTTCTCTATGATACACTTTAATATTTTGTCCAAATATCTTGAAACATGTTATTAACTTTGAAGAAAGAATAAAAGCAGCCACTTTAGAGACTGGAAACATTCAAGCACTGATCTATTAGTAAAGTTTCTACACAGCTGAAGAAGTTTGCATCAAATGGACAAAAAATAGTACAGAAAACCTAAGTAGAGAAAAATTTAGAAAACTCCATCTCCTAGAAAGCAGGTCCCAGTTAAAGACCTCACCGAATGCAGGAGAATCAATGGGAAACAATGTAAAGACTTCTGCTAGGACATAAATAGGAACCAGTCTATGTAATCAAGGAAGTACTTTGCCTCCTGATCTAAATGTCTGCCTCCAGTCTAGGACTCAGGAAACAGTCTGGTTATTTGAACTGCTTGTCAATCAAGGTCCCCTTCGTTTTCACTTTCTTGGCTTCCAGTTCAGCCAGCTCTTGCAGTCGTCTCTTGCTCATGCCTTTGCGCTCTAGCTGTTTTTCAATCACTTTGGCATTCTGTGCATATGAATCGGCAACTTCCCTAGCCTCAATCTCCTCTTCCTCTTCATCGATGGTAGACACAGTGACGGAACTGAACTTTCCCATGTCTTTGGTCCGTTTGGTCATCATCACCTTCTTAGGAGGCTCTTGTTTCTGAGTATATATGTTTGTTTTTCGAAAGCCCTGGCCAAACTTGACTACTGCTCCATCGACAATGAAAGTAACTGGAGCATTCTTTGGCTGCGATTGGTAGAAGAGCAGCAGTCCACACTTTGCACATTTCTTCCTGTACTGTCGTTCAATGCCTTCAGGTCTCCGCAGATACGTAGTCTCCTCGTCTTCCGTGTTGCAAAACTTATGGGCATGTTTGGCAGCATCAATCACACGGGACCGGTCCCGGGGCCTCATGGGCAATTTCTCTAACTGGCAGTCCAGCACTAGGACCATCTGGCCGCACAAACAGTAGTACACATGGAGGGGCTTCTCGCCGTCTTCATACTCCTCCCGGTCCCGAGTGTCAGAGCAGACTACCGACCTAGACACTACTTTCGGCATAGTTCCCAAGATCACCCTGGACTACGCCGAGAAGACGGTCGCGCCGGAAATGACGTCACCGCCTTTTATTTCTTTATCTTGCCTGATCGCTCTGGTCAGGACTTCCAATTCGATGTCTAATAGAAGTGATGAAAGGGGGCTGGATGCGGTGGCTCACGCCTGTAATCCCAGTACTTTGGGAAGCCAAGGCGGGTGGATCACGAGGTCAAGAGATCGAAGACCATCCTGGTCAACAAGGTGAAACCCCGTCTCTACTAAAAATACAAAAATTAGCTGGGCATGGTGGTGCGTGCCTGTAGTCCCAGCTACTCGGGAGGCTGAGGCAGGAGAATTGCTTGAACCCAGGAGGCGGAGGTTATGGTGAGCCGAGATTGTGCCATTGCACTCCAGTCTGGATAACAAGAGCGAAACTCCGTCTCAAAAAAAAAAGAAAAAAAGGAAAAGGGATTCTTTGTTGTTGTTCAGTTATGGGAGGTTGTATTTGTCCAAGAATTTATTGATTTCTTTTAGAAACGGAGTGTATGTACATAGAACTGTTCATAGTATGCCTTCAGTAGTTAATTCTATTTTTTGTGATCAGTGATAATGTCCCTTTTGTCATTTCTAATTTCGTTTCTTTTTTTCAAATCTTCTCTTCATTAAGCTTGCTAGTGGTTTATATATCTTATTAATTTTTTCAAAAGATTTAACTCCTAAATTTTTCGTTGTTTTTTTTTTTTTTGAGACAGAGTTTCGCTCTTGTTATACAGGCTGGAGGGCAATGGCGCGATATCGGCTCACCGCAACCTCTGCCTCCCGGGTTCAAGTAATTCTCCTGCCTCAGCCTCTCGAGTAGCTGGGACTACAGGCATGCGCTACCATGCCCAGCTAATTTTTGTATTTTTAGTAGAGCCGGGTTTCACCATGTTGATCAGGATGGTCTCTATCTCTTGACCTTGTGATCCACCCGCCTCAGCCTCCCAAAGTGTTGGGATTGTAGGCGTGAGCCACAGCACCCTGCCAACTCCTTAATTTCTTAATTTTTTTTTTAATATGACTTTTTTGTTGTTGTTGAGATGGAGTTTCGCTGTTGTTACCCAGACTGGAGTGCAATGGCAGGATCTCGGCTTACTGCAACCTCCACCTCTTGGGTTCAAGCAATTCTCCTGCCTCAGCCTCCCGCGTAGCTGGGACTACAGGCACACACCACCATGCCCAGCTAATTAATATGACTTTTTATGTCTAAATCTCTTTCAGTTCAGATATGATTTGGGTTATTTCTTGTCTTCTGCTACCTTAGTGGCTGGTTTTTCTCTTGCTTCTCTTATTTTGTTATTTATAATGTTAGGTGGTTAAATTCAGACCTTTCTTTTTTTTTGATTTGAGCGTTTAGAGTTAAATTTTCCTCTTCACATTGCCTGAGCTGTGTTGCAGAATCTCTGGTATGTTATATCGTTACTCCCATTTGTTTCAAAGAATTTCTTTATTTCTATCCTAATTTTATTATTTACCCAAAAATCATTTACGTGCTTAATTTTTATGTAATTGTATGATTTTAAGTAGTTTTCTTTGTATTTAATTATATCTTTATTAAGCTGTGGTCTAAATATGCATTTGGTATGATTTTGAAATTTTTGAATTTGTAGAGATTTGTTCTGTTTTTGATTGTGTGCTCAATTTTAGGGTATTATGACCTCTGGTGTTGAGAGAAGAATATAATGTGTTGGTTTTAGATGAAGAGTTGTTGTTGTTTTTGAGACGGAGTTTCGCTCTTGTTACCCAGGCTGGAGTGCAATGGCGTGATCTCGGCTCACCGCAACCTCCGCAATTCTTCTCCCCCAGCCTCCTGAGTAGCTGGGATCACAGGCATGCGCCACCATGCCCAGCTAATTTTTTGTATATTTTTTAGTAGAGATAGGGTCTCACCATGTTGACCAGGATGGTCTCGGTCTCTTGACTTCGTGATCCACCCGCCTCGGCCTCCCAAAGTGCTGGGATTACAGGCGTGAGCCACCGCACCCGGCCTTAGATAAAGAGTTCTATAGATTTCTTTCTTTTTTTTTTTTTTTTATTTGAGACAGAGTCTCACTCTGTCACCCAGGCTGGAGTGCAATGGCATGATCTCGGCTCACTGCAGCCTCTGCTTCCAGGGTTCAGGCAATTCTGCCTCAGCCTCAGGGATTACAGGCACGTGCCACCATGCCCAGCTAATTTTTTGTATTTTTAGTAGAGACGAGGTTTCACCATCTTGACCAGGATGGTCTCAAACTCTTGACCCTCGTGATCCCCCCGCCCCGGCCTCCCAAAGTGCTGGGATTACAAACGTGAGCCACCACGCCTGGCCTTAGATGAAGAGTTCTATAGATTTCTATTAGGACTATTTGGTCAAATGTTGAGTTTAGGTCCTGATGTCTGTTAATTTTCTGCCTCAATGATCTCTATTAGTTTCTGTGGGATGTTGTAATCTCCCACTATTATTGTGTCAAAATCTAAGTCTCTTCATAGCTCTCTAAGAACTTGCTTTATTCATGTATATCTATGGATTTTTTTTATAACAGCTTTCTGTTTTCTGCTTTTTTCCTTCATGAATATTCTTTGAAGCACACACAGGATGCCCAAGGCCTTTTTTCTTTTTTTGCCAATCAGTTTGAGCCTATGAGGTTGCTCAGGTTAGCCTTGAACTGATGACCTCGCCTTCACGAGCGCCATGACCTCCGGCGGGAGCCACTTTGGACCCCGCCAAGGCCTTTTTTCATAATGCTCATATTTCTCATGCTGAGAGTAGCTGTGTACTTGGGTGTTTAGAGAGAGATTCCTTTTAGGGGAATATTTTCTGGTCACCTTGATAAATCATATGTTGGAAATAGATGCTTGGTGCCGCAAAGAAAAATTAGCACTGAGACAAAGGATTATTTAACAACACAAGTTTTACTTCCTGGACTGCAGGACGGGTACTCTTACTAGCCAACTTGCCACGAGAGTACAGTGAGTAAAGGGTACCCCCCATTCATTTGGGATTGTCCTTAAACTGCTGTGTTTGATCTCCGTTGGCTGGAACCAGACCTCACAATCTAAACTAAAACCCTATTGGCTAACAACTTAAAACTTTTCTAAACAGGTAAAAGCAATGGAGAGCTGGGACATGGCCTGTGAGCATGTCTAGCAGAGATATCCTGGTTAAAGTACAAGGACATAGAATCTACTACGTGCCTGTAAGCATGGCATGTTTAACAGCTACATAGGATAGGACTTAGGCCAGGCACAGTGGCTCACACTGTAATCCCAACACTTGGAAAACCGAGGTGGGCAAATCATGAGATCAGGAGTTCAAGACCTGCCTGGCCAACGTGGTGAAACCCCATCTCTACTAAAAATACAGAAAAGTTAGCTGGGCATGCTTTCACGTGCCTGTGATCCCAATTATTTGGGAGGCTGAGGCAGGATAATTGTTTGACCGTGGACCTGGGAGGCAGAGGTTGCAGTGAGCAGAGATGACGCTACTGCATTCCAGCCTGGGCTACAGAGTGAGACTCCATCTCCAAAAAAAAAAAGTATAGGGCTTAAGAAACTTATTAGCATACTTATTCTTCAACTAGAAAGGAAACATTAAAAAGGAACTTTTCCACTTCCCACACAAACTTATATTTAATCTGAGTTTTTTGTTTGTTTGTTTTTGTTTTGAGACAGAGTCTCACTCTGTTGCCAGGCTCCAGTCTGCAGTGCAGTGACACAATCTCGGCTCACTGCAACCTCCACCTCCCGAGTTCAAGCAATTCTCCTGCCTCAGCCTCCTGAGTAGCTGGAACTACAGGCGCGCACTACCACGCCCAGCTAATTTTTGTATTTTTAGTAGAGATGAGGTTTCACCATGTTGGCCAGGATGGTCTCGATCTCTTGACCTTGTGATCCACCCCCCTCGGCCTCCCAAAGTGCTGGGATTACGGGTTTGAGCCACCACACCCGGCCTAATCTGAGTTTTTATAAGGATGCATTTAACTTCTTTTTTCTCTGAATACAATCTTACTCAGATGAAGAGCTGTTTTTCTCTCCAATGCTTTGTGCTCCAGAGCCCCATTAGTATCCTGTGGTGTGTGTGAATGAGGTGGGCTGTCAGTGATAACTTTTTTTTAATTTAAGAGACAGAATCTTGCTTTGTCACCCACGCTGTAGTGCAGTGGTGCAATCTCGGCTCACTGCAACCTCCGCCTCCAGGTTTCAAACAATTCTTTTGCCTCAGCCTTTCAAGTAGCTGAGACTACAGGTATACACCACCATGCCCAGCTAATTTTTTTGTATTTTAGTAGAGACAGGATTTTACCGTGTTTCCCAGACTGGTCTCGAACTCCTGAGCTCAGGCAGTTCGCCTGCCTCAGCCTCCCAAAGTGCTAGGATTACAGGTGTAGGCCACTACACCGGCCAAGAACTCTTGAAGCTGTCGTTGTCTAGACTCATGCTGAAAATCCGGCAATGTTTTTTCCATGTCACCATTATAAATAGAAACTGACGCTGAAACACTGCTCCCATTTCCATTATTGTGAAGGTGCAGTTCTACCCAGGAGACCTGCAGGCTCTCCTCCTGCAGCTCTGGCTTCCCTCTCTGATGTGGCACTGGAGTGCTGCTATGGCAATTGGGGTTCACATAAGATGTGAGCTGCTACCTGTGAACCCTGTGCTGTGCCTCAGTGGTGGACGGTAGGAGTCAAGGAAGGACATGAGCCATCAGGAGAGGGCAGCAGGGTGCTGTAGCCCACCCAGTGCTCAGGGAGTTGAGAGCCATTGCTTTAAAATGTAAATAGCCAAAAAGATAGCACCACATTCAACCATTTCTGCGGGAGGGTGAGACAGACACCTGGCTTCAAGTTGCAAAGTTACCTCCTGTTATGAAGATGTAAAAAAGTTTATTTTGTCCTTCAATATAACCAATTAGCATACACGATGGCCTCCCCAATCTCCACGTGAATGTAGATAAACTATTTATAAGATGATGCTGGAAATTCCTCTACTTGTGAACTAATTATGGTGACCATCCTTTTATCTTTGCATCTCTTAAGCAGATTGACTAATGCATGTCACATTCTGGTTTAATTGTGTAATAAAATAGCTTTCTTTCTTTCTGTTTTTTTTTTTTTTTTTTTTTTTTTGAGACAGAGTCTTGTTGCTCAGGCTGGAATGCAATGGTGTGATTTCAGCTTACTACAACCTCCACTTCCCAGGTTTAAGCAATACTCCTGCCTCAGCCTCCTGAGTAGCTGGGATTA